TTTTAGCACGTAGCTATTTATTATTAGCATTCTTCTTCCGACGTCTGATTTCTTTTTAATTATAAGAAATGCGTTTTTCTAAGGTACATAAACTTTTGGGATTGACTGTATAGCCAATACATCCTTAAGTAATCGCGATGGGCATTCGGAATTAAAAGAGGCTTACGTCCATGCTCTTCCTCAGGATGTGGCCAGCGTGATGAGCTTCTCCTCGAACTCGAGCGGGGTTCTTGGCTGTCCCTCGGAAACGCAGGGCGACCGGAGATTAGGAGCGAAAGTCGACGTGGTTTACAACCTTCTGGGAATGTTGGGTAGTACAGAGGGCCGCGAGGACATGAGCGCGACCCTGCTCTCCATGAGCAACTCGATAGACACTTGCCTCATAATGAGACAGTCGGGGTGCCTTCCATTGTTGGTGCAACTGATCCACGCCCCGGGGCAGGATCCCGAGACCAGGGAAAGGGCGTCGCGAGCTCTGCACAACATCGTGTACGCGAAGAGCGACGAGAGGACTGGCCGTCGAGAAGCGAGGGTTCTCCGGTTCCTCGAGCAGTTGCGGGACTACTGTCAGGCCCTGAGAACGTCGCTCGAGGCGGGGCAGATCCCCGACGACCTCGAGAGGCACCCTGGACCCACGATAGCGGCGCTGATGAAGCTGTCCTTCGACGAGGCGCATCGCCACGCCATGTGCCAACTCGGCGGACTCCACGCGGTGGCCGAACTGATAGAAATGGATCACATGGCCCACGGCAGCGAATGCGACGATCAGAATTGTATCACCCTGCGAAGATACGCCGGGATGGCGTTGACGAATCTAACGTTCGGCGATGGAAACAACAAAGCTCTGTTGTGCTCCTTCCGAGAGTTCATGAAGGCGTTGGTGTCGCAGCTGAGGAGTCCGAGCGACGACCTCAGACAAGTGACGGCGTCCGTTCTGAGGAATCTCTCGTGGCGAGCCGACACGGCCAGCAAGCAGACGCTGAGGGAAGTGGGTGCGGTGACAGGTTTGATGAAGGCCGCGATGGAAGGCAGAAAGGAGTCGACGTTGAAGTCGATACTCTCAGCGCTTTGGAACCTATCGGCTCATTGCAGCACGAACAAGGTAGACATTTGCGCCGTGGACGGTGCGCTGGCCTTTCTCGTCGACATGCTGAGTTACAAAGCACCGTCCAAGACTTTGGCCATCGTGGAGAACGCTGGTGGTATCTTGAGGAACGTCTCTAGCCACATCGCTGTTCGAGAAGATTACCGAGCCATCGTGAGAGAGAGAGGCTGCTTGCAAGTGTTGTTACAGCAACTTCGATCGCCGAGCTTGACCGTCGTCAGCAACGCCTGCGGTGCGCTATGGAATCTTTCGGCCAGATGTCCGCAGGATCAGCGTTTGCTGTGGGACCTCGGTGCCGTGCCGATGCTCCGAAGTCTGATTCAGTCGAAGCACAAAATGATCTCGATGGGCTCGAGCGCAGCTTTGAAAAATTTGTTAAGCGCGAGACCGGGCTGCAATAATTTTGTGCATCTGGACTCGACCGCGCGCGGTTTAGGCCTGCCGACTCTGCCGACGCTGGTCGCTCGCAAGCAGAAGGCTCTCGAGCAGGAGATAGATCAGAACCTGGCCGAAACTTGCGACAACATCGAGCCGAGCACGTCGCCGACGAGCAAGGATGACAAGTTATTCAAAGTGGAGCACAGCTTCTTAGGGATGAACTCGCGCACCTTACGTTCTTATCAGTTGCACGGTCAACCGAGCACGTCGAACGTTAAGTGCAACGGGGTGGCCAGGAGCGAGAGCAGGGACTCGATGCGCTCCATAACGAGCACCCAGTCCGACACGATGTTCGAGAGGGTGAACCGTCACGTGATGAACGGCTTGTCGCCGACCGAGGTTCAGATGAAGCAACAATCCTCGTCGTTACACTCCGCGGTCGGCTTCGACAACAGTCTGTCCAGCGAGACTCATTCCAAGTCGGAGAAGAAGTACGCCCTGCGTTACAGAAACGCCATTCCGGATCGTTTGAAGTCATCCGATGGTTTCAACGGCGATCTCAGGTGCACCAACTCGACCATATCGTGGTCCTCGGCTCCAGACCAAGAATCCGTCTGTTCCCAAAACTTGTTGCACTCTTCAGTGGAGGACAACTTGCCGCAGAGCGTCTCGTCCACGCTGAAGACCGGCAGCCAGTCGAGCATCTCCGAGGAAACGGAACTGAACGTCCGCACGAAAACGGAGTACGTGACCACGAAATCTGGGATGGACGACTCGTCGTCGTTGTCGTACGTCAGCACAGACTCACCTGTGAAAGAGACGGGAATCAGTTTCGGGAACGTCTACGATAAAGCCATGCTGCATCAGCACAATTCGTTGAATACCGTGCAGAAAGCCATCTCGCCGACCGTCGCTCATCGAACGGCGGAGGGAAATTTATTTAGCGATTACGCCGAGACCGATTTGGATCAGCCTACCGATTATAGTCTGCGTTACGCCGAGCGAAGTTTGGAAGATGAGGAGAAACCGCATTATTTCACGAACAACGATCAGGAACTTATTCACGAGGATACGGTGAAGACTTATTGCACGGAAGGGACGCCGCACGGGACGTCCCTGAATTCTTCCAGAGCGGCCTCGGCTTCCGACTTGCAGGAGGACAGTCGACAGAAAAGTTTGTTGAAAAAGATTCAGGAGCAGGGTAAACTGCAAGACAAGGAGGAATTGGGTATTAAGAACGTCGAAGAGGACGAGTGTGCTTCTACGAAGAGTCCGTCAAGGTTTGTACATAAATCGATTGACGTCATCGAAATTATTATATTAATTGTGTAATAGAAGTTTCTACTGAAACTTTGTTTCTTGTTCACAGCTTAAAAGCGCAGTTATCGTCGAATAATTTGCAATACGATGAAGGCGGTAACGCAGCATCTAATTGTACGAAGAGTAAGTCGGATAAAACTCTTAATAAAATAAGCAATATTTCGATTGTTAATCATTTTAAAAATGTTACGTAGGTGTGGCGACTGAAAACGCCGCGTTCGAAAGAAATGAGAAATTCACTAAGAATTATCACGGTAACGGCGTTAATTCGTACGTGATAAGTGCGTTGAAGGCTTCTAGCGATTCAGGATGTAAGGAATTTGAACTAAAAGGCGACACGCGTAACATGCCTTGCACATTAAATATAAACGACTCTTCCGAATGTTTAGATCAAGTTAGCGACGGTGACGAGGACGACGAAGATTTGCTTACAGCTTGCATCAACATCGGAATGCAAAATAACAGGTGAATAACTCGACCGTCGTCTCGTTCAATTTCCCCGACTCAATTCTCTCAGTAAATAAGAAAGTCTCTACTATTATCTTCCAGGCACAGGCATTCGTTTATAGGAAACAATTTCGAGAAAGTCCCACGAAGCGAAAGGAATCTAACGAGATATCAGACCAGCGTCGCGCTAGATCAAATGGACAATTCATCGATCGATTCCACGATGAACGAAGAAATGAGAGATTCCGATGTCTTGAACATCGATAGCAAGTCGAGTACCATCCCGCCGGAATTTCAGGATCAGAATCCATTTACGCAGGTAACGTCCGTTTTATGCAATTAGGACTTTCAGTACATAATTATTGAAATATAATTATTCAAATATTATATAAAGTAACGATAACGTTTGAAATGTCTCTGGTACAGCCGTTCGCTGAATCCCGCGATTTTTTTGTCGCAGATGGGAGACGCGTCCAACATCTCCGTGGAACAGCCCGATCAAAGTCTGCAACACCAATTTGATAAAAACACGGAGGACGGTTCGATACTGGGCGAAGGAAGTCTGTGCAACTTTTCGCTGCCTTCGAACCTGAGAAACAGTCCGATATTCCAAGAAACCGTAGTGTTCAACACAGAACCGACGCAACAACAATACTTATCGAGCATCGATACTCAATCGAACGAAGACATGTCCTCTTTGATTCACAACGATCTTCTCGAGAACGTCGAAGATGATTGCGAGAACGAGAAAACAGCGGAGTCGTTGAAAGGTCAAGAGAACTCCATGCAGCAGTCTTACGCAAAAGTGACAGACTCTGAGAGCAGCGAGTCGATCGATTCCGTCGAGCAATCGGAGCAAGCGCTTCTAGAATTGTGCATCCAACCCGGATTGACAAAGACCATGGACAACGCTGTGAAATCTGGTACACGCGACAATGAATTTGGCGAACGACGAGTCGACGACATTTCGAACAAGGGGAACGATACGTGCCAAGTGGATGGCGTGAAGAAAGAGGAGACTGATTCGAAACATAAATCGGTACAGAGGAACGCTGACGGTACGAAACACGTGGAGAAAGAAGACGCGTATAGGCGTCAAAGGGATCCGGATGCGATGATTGCCTCATTGGATCGATTGACCGCAGCTTTGGTGCAGCAGACGCAAGCGATACGGGAGCGAGACTCGAGCGCGATGAAGCAGAGCATAGTGAGCGACACGTGGAACGAGGATTCTCCGAACGACGTTTCCTTCCCTAGCATCAGTATCAGCGCTCCCATAATCGCTTCGTTCAAGAGCGACGTGCCGGAGGAGCAAGTCACCATCACTTCGGAGTGCTACGAGACGGCCAGCAGCGAGAGCGGCGGGCACATGACGAATTCGAAGATCATCCAAATGGAAGCGATCAAATTGGCCGAGGCGGTAGATGCGGAGCTCAGGAACAGGCAGAACGAGTCGGAGACGACGAGCATGACGTCCATGGACTATTTAGAAGCGATCAAGCCCCCTTCGTCGATGGGAAGCTTGTTATCGTTGACAGCTAGTTACGCCGGTTCGGGTGACTGTAGCGAATCATTCGTTAATCGAGACAGATGTAACTCCACGTCATTGCCTCCGATGCAGCCGAAGAACGATTTCCGTAGTTGTCGCAAAAAGTCTCTTCCTCTCGGCGTCGTCGCTAAGCGGGCCCTCAGTCAGACTCAGAGTCACACCAGCAGTTTGGAGAATCTGTTGAACGAGTGTACCGGCTCGCATCTCGAGAACGTGAAACCGCCCTCGATGATGGACGAGTTGCCGGACGTCGGCGACATGGAAAACAGTATGGTGAGCGTAGCGAGTATCACGTCGGAGGTAGCGGATTCCAAGGAACAGGACACGCACAATCTCACCAGTAGCGACGCAGTGTTCGATTTACTGAAGCCCGTTGCGAACGTGCTCTCTATGACGTGCATGCGTTACGCCGAGGCCATGCACAGCACGAACAATAGCATGAGCGAATGCTTAGAGAATATAAATCCTCCTTCGTTGTTCAACGAAGTCTGCGAGATGGACGAGTCGACGATAGAGCACGGCACCGAGACCATATGCAGTGATACGCTGTGCATCGACGCGGAGTTGCACACCGAGGAAGCGCCGCATCCGATTATCATCGAGAGGATCGACGAGGCGGGTAATGACACCGACGAGGCGGTCACGCCGATCTCATCGGAGTATTGCGGCACCAGCTCGGCCGAGTCCACGCCAAGAAAACGGATCCACCGAAACTTGACGCCGAAACAGAAACGGACTTTGGCCAAGGACAGATACAAGACATACACCATAGCTGCTGAGATGGAAAAGAAGGAGGAGGAGGACCGACAAAAGAACGGCAGCATGGATGAAGAAAGGGTTCCACGTTGCAAGTTGTCGCCTTTTTCTAAATTGACCCCGAAGCAACGTAGGCAGGAAGATAGAGCCAGGTTTCGAACGCAAGTGTTGGAAAATCCTTTTCCCGACCTGAACCAGGATCAGCAGAACGATGACCAAGAAGCAAACGGGAAACAAGAGAATCCTGATAAACCATCGAGATCGGTGTCGCCTGTAAAGTCTGCCATTCCAACGCTGTCGAAATTCTCTGCTTGCAAAGCGTTGGCGAAGAAGCGCGCCGAGCAGAAGAAGAGTAGAGAAAGGTATCGGACGAGGACATTGGACGATTCGGAATCTGTATTCAAGGATGGAGAGAGTAACGCCGCTGCGAACGTAACAGAGGAAAGGATTCACAAAGGTCAGTCGGACGAGATTCAAACTTTGTTGCAACAAAATGCAACGATAGTGTTAAACACGTTGAACGAGTCAAACAAGGGGAGCGGGGAGGAAGGATTGCTGGAATACGAGAACATCAATTTGGCATCTAACGAGTCAGAATCGGAACGGAATCTACGGATGCGATTTGTCAATGGCGTTTCCAAGAAATTGATAGGTTCCTGCGTACAACAACAAATGGAGAATGTACAAGAACTAGAGGATCTCCGTAAAGAGACAACGGAGATCGAGACGCCTAGATCGCAAGAGAACATCAGGTACACCGATAACGTTGATACGGAGAGCGACGACGAATCGAACAACACCGAGGGACCGTCTCGGGAGACGAAGAGGCCGCGAATAATCAAACCAGGAATGGTGAGGGATCTCAGCAATGATTCCAATGCTACAGACAAATCGGATCCGGAGAGCCCGAAAGCTATTCGAGGCAGGAGGAAAGCTCTGTATTCGAATCCGATCACGCGCAAACCGACGCCGCAGTCGTCCCCGTTGAAACAGGTGAACCCCATCAGCGGAATACCTATCGGACGCAGCAACACCTCGCCCATAGTGAGAGCTACGAGAGCGACCACGCTCAGACAGAATAACAACAGTCCGAGCTCAGCCACCAGGGAGTTTACGAAACCGTCGAATACGAGTCCGAAGGCGATTTCGGATGAGAAGAAAACAAAAAATTTATCCGTGGTCGCGAAGAGAGCTTCGGTTCCTCAGAAAGGATCGTCAATGACGTTCACAAAATCGGTCAAGAGGCACAGCACTCCTCCGACCTGTTCCTCTTCGAACTATCAACAGGAGGTGAAATCGGAATTAACCGTGAAACCTCTGGAGAGACAAGGCACGTTCACCAAAGACGAACCGGAAGTGGAGAACGCGCCCACAGTGGTATCGGCGTCCTCTTCCCCGATTAAAACGAAAATCGCGAAACCCATTAGAGGCGCGACGTCCAAGGTGCATCCGACTACGGGGAAACCGAAGGTTCCGCCGAAACCTCAGCAAGTGCATCAGATGAAGTCGTCGAAGGGGAACGCGACCGAAAAGATGCAACCTTCGAAAGCGTTGCCGTTGCAACTGGTCGGTACGAAACGGTTGCCTGCGAGTAAAGTGTCTGCGACTCCGAAGATACCGGTCAGCAATCAGAATGCTGCGCAAGCAGATAATGGTAAGACGTTTCGAAAGGTAGGTCCCCTCGGGCAGAGGTCCAGCAGCAATTCTAGCATAGTTTCGAACTCGTCGACGGGAATGCAGACGAGAAGGTTGGCGAAGGAAGCGACTAGCAAGATCGCGAGTCTCTGGAAGAAGGTGGAAGAGAGCAAGAGTAGACAGCGTTTCGAGAAACCGGATACTAGGCAGTGGCTGCAGCCTGGTAACTGTGCCAACGACGACGTGGACGCTCCGTCTCCGACGAGCGACGATGCTCCCGCTTTCAGATTGTTCCGAAGCTCGACGTTCGAGGGGTTGCCGCAGGAGAACGATCGTCCCGAAACGGCTTTGTACAAATCGAAATTGAAGAGACCGCTGGTAGTCGGCATCCAACCGAGCAAGGCGAAGTACAGGAACTCCTGCGATCTGAGCGGAATGAACGATGCTCCCTGCAAGATTCCCGTAAAGTCCAGCCAAGACAAGAGGGACACAGTGGACGCAGGAGAGAACCCGGTCGTCTTGCGTAAGCATGTCGACTCTTCCGTGACGGAGGTCGATCCTACGAAGCGGATATCGCGCCTCGGTTCCTTCATCAGGGTAGACTCCGCCGATGGATCTGTCGCGCAAACTTCCGTGAACGGGGCAGCTGGCGTGCGAACGCCAGCGTCCGCGATCGTACCGCCTTTCAATTACAACCCGAAACAAGAAGTCTCGACTTCGCAGTCGACCAAGTTGACACTGGACGAGAGCGAGGGAAAATACAGAGGGACCGATTGTCACAGCGACATAGTCACAGCTTCGACGAGGGTGACGACCGTATAGGGAGAGTCTGTCGCGAGGTAAACCAACTGTTTCTTTTCTCGTAGTATCGCTTTTCTGTTTCAGGCTAGTCATTGTACATTTGCTTTACCGGTGTCGACCGCGAATCGGCACGCAGTACGCGTTAAGAGTACTCGATAAGTAAGTTAAAGGTTTATTTTTTTTTTACCTCATCGTTTTTAAAAGGCGCTGCAAATTTTTCATGGTATCTCATTAATTTCATTGCATACGCGCTCGGATGCAATTTCTACCTGTTGTTTTTTCTATCCTTGAACAAAGGTACAATTAAAGTGTGACATAGCCGGAAATCCTGATAACACATCATTCCTATTCACTTTGCGTGTTGTATATACATTAATATTTGAGAAATTCCACGATTACGGTGAAGAAAATTTCAAAAAATCGGTAGTACGTAGCAGTAATTATGCTCGATTATTTATTCAACTTTGTATATATTGAACACGGACGAAGAATGTAGAAAGTTTAGTGATTACATATTACGACCCACGATGTATATCGCAGAAGGTATGTCTCTGTACATCTTCGTAATAGATAAAAATTCGTGAAGAAGGAACAAGATCTGTATTTTGTTTCGATCGTAAAGAAAAAGAGGACACATTTGTATTCCTTTGAGTGACGAATACAAAGTCTGATCACTTTTCAAAGACTGATAGAAATGATGATGATGCGATAGAGATTCGAATACTTGGACACATCTTCGACGCGACAAAAAAATGTGGAAAAATGTAAAAGTGGTAGTGATGTTTATATCGATCGTAGCGGTCTAAGCAAACAGAAAAAAAAACGCTGAAACTGGGATTGCGCGAAGTGGACAAAATTTTGTAAACCCTCTTACTTTAAGTTTCTAGTCTATTCAAACGAACAAGCAGTTGAAACAGCTTCTATTTTGGTCATTAACATGTGCATTACGTACAAAAATCAATTTGCATGTAACGAGTGTCCGACCGTTGTTCCCTTTCCAAAAATACATGTAGGTACAATTTAAGAGTGTGTACGGATCAATTATGTGCTCGGATCGGAAAGTTTAAAATAATATCGATCGGCGTTTAACGATGTTTATTTTCAATATACGTTTGTTTCTTATCGAAAAATTGTCGAGGCGAGCGGGAGAGAGAGAGCGTGAAATATTTCTTAAGTTTTCTTCTATGTCGCGTCATCTTTCCTTCTACGTGCTTTGCGTGGAAAATCTCATTATAGAAGGAAACCGTTTGACGCGATACAGAGAGCAGATTTTTATCGTTGATCATTTAAACCCTGTTCCAGTTCGAGTTAATTAGATTTAACCCTTCCAACTTGGAACCATATCAGGGTGTCGTTTGAATTTCCTTTTCTTTGTTATACGGCGTTTGGTCTGTACACCGGGATACGGAGTTCTTTTGTAATCTTCATCCTTTACTTAGATCTTAAGTGGACTTTGTCTTTCGTTATACCGTATTCTAGATTCGGCAGACATCTTAATGATTTGTATATCGATAATTGCAGTACAATAAAATTTATAGCTACTAACTACTAATAATTTCGTTCCTGGTACAAGAAATATCGTTACATTCTTTGGTATATGTAAAAAACGATACATATGTACGTGAACATGATCGAAGTAATAAATAAGTATACGGGTTTATCGCATTTGATAGAGAAATTTATTTATCGTACAACGGACATTCGTAAAGATTAATTGACTTATCTTCAGACACTGACGCTATTATACTGTTCTTCTGCGGATTGTACTTTACAGCCCAGACCTAGAGAAAGTATCAAAACAATTTTAATCGTTTCCGTAGCTCACGTTTAATCTAACAAGGGGACTATACGGGTCTGGGATCACGGATTTTGTTGAAACTTCGTATACTTGTAGTACTCCACTAGGACAGCATATACACCTTCAATGTTGCCGCAAACATCCAGAGGTTTTCGAGAAAATTGCAAAAGAAGTTTGACGCGTCCTTATCTTCCCTTGCCTTACGACTATGAACAAGCAGTGGCGGCGGCCCAGTAGTTAACGTTCTAGCTTGGTAACCGCTGGGTCGATGGATCCGAGTCTCTTTCGTGTATTTTTTTTTTCTTCTTTTTCCCCNGGGGAAAAAGAAGAAAAAAAAAATACACGAAAGAGACTCGGATCCATCGACCCAGCGGTTACCAAGCTAGAACGTTAACTACTGGGCCGCCGCCACTGCTTGTTCATAGTCGTAAGGCAAGGGAAGATAAGGACGCGTCAAACTTCTTTTGCAATTTTCTCGAAAACCTCTGGATGTTTGCGGCAACATTGAAGGTGTATATGCTGTCCTAGTGGACTACTACAAGTGTACGAAGTTTCAACAAAATCCGTGATCCCAGACCCGTATAATCCCCTTGTAAGCTATAAACGAAGTTGCGATACGTCACCTGATCGTTGTGTTCATTGAACGTGTGCAGGCATTGTCTCTGCGCTAATTCCCAAACTTTTACCGAATGATCCGAGCTGCTGGACGCAAACTGTTGTCCATCTGGTGAAAAAGCAACGCTGAGCACCCACGAAGCGTGGCCCGACATGGTTCCTGCTAAGTTAGCATCTTTCCTACGCGGGAAATAAAATGAATCTCTGATCTTCCCAATTTCCTACATTCCCAATTTTCATCAGTAAAATAAAAGTATTTGAAATACTTACACGTCGTACAATTTCATGTGTCCATCATCCGACGCGGTAAGAAGTAACTGGGAATCGGGTGAAAAGCAAAGAGATCTGATGGGCATTGCGTGGCCTGAAACAGTCGAGATCATGCGTCATCGATGAACACGAGCCAGGAACAAATTATTTACCTTCCAATGTACGTAAAACTTTTCCATATGTAACATCGAAAATATTAATGATCCCGTCTATCGCTCCGCTGGCGATATATTTCCCATCAGGGCTCTGAAACGAGTAATACTATGAACCTGAAAAAGCTGGTCGATCTATATCTAAAAAATGCATACATAGGCGACGCTCAAAGTAAACTTTCCACCCCTGGTGTCCAAAGTCTGTTCCTGTTTACCGCTTTCCGTTCCGTAGAGATGTATTTTGCCGGAATGACTCCCAGACACAATGAATTTGTCATCCGGTGAGAATACTACTGTCCAAATGTCCACAGGGCCTACTTCGATGTTCGATATCTTTTCTGCCGTCTCTAAATCCCATAGTTTCAAACTGGAATCTAGCGAACTGGACGCACATTCTAAAAATACGTTTAAATACCAACGTGCATCGCATCAAATCAGTTATGACTGTTAATGTTTTAAATAGGTTGCTCACTTCTCCCGTCGCAGCTCACAGCGACGGATACTACGCCGAGTGAATGGCCAGCTAGCTTATGTTTAAGCTGCAAGCCGTTCTCCTTTTGTTCCCAAACTTTGACAGCGTCGTCGACCGAGCCGGTTACCAGATATTCTACCGTCTCCTCCAGTTCATTTTGTATAGAATCACTGTAATATATAAAAGATTGTTACAAAGAGAAATGCTGGATAGTACAATAATTTATGTAAACTGGATAGTATAATTACCGCGAATCCTCGTTGTCTGGCTGAGGCTCTTTTCTCCTTTTGAGAGAGCCCCAAGCACAGGTCCATATGCTATCTTCATGAGCATTTTCTATTTTATGAAGCAAGGAATACTGAAATAGTTTAGAGCATTAGAATAAAACGTAATTTTTATACCTTGCGAATTCTCTTACGTTCCTCACCATTTTGTCAGACCATGTGTCTTATCCTTCGCTGTTATACGAAATTGTCGTATACATCAAACCGAAAAACTATTTCGTTTGTAAATTCAAATAACCAAAAACCTTTCCCGTTTGTAAACAGTGTATTATCATAGACAGATATATACGAGCCGGGATAATCCTCCGAATTGGTTGGGCACAGTGTAAATGCAGTCACATGCCATCTCTAGCTGTGGCGCATGTCTTTTAGACGCCTAGTTACAACCCACGGAGTGCCCAAAATCAGGGTTCTCATAATTTCCCGCACGGCTCGCTTCCCCTCTTTTTCGCCCGTATTTCGCTCCCCACTACTATTCTCCTCATGCGCCTTCGCTGACAATGCCTAGCATACCCCCATGAAGTACCAGTCCCCACCATGGTCGCGTCGCCCCCACTTTCTGGCCGAAGGATAAATTATGAAAAATGCCAGTGTGGACGAGACGGCCGTGGCCGAAGGTCTGTGTACTTCGTGATGTTCCGTTAACCTACCAAGTCGTTGTATTTATTGCGTTTCTCGTTTAATTACTACGTGCGGGAAATTCTTGACGAAATGTCGGATTCGGAGGCGAGCAATCTTTCTGAGAATGAAAGGGATCGCGGCGGTGGCGGCAGTGAAAGTGAACAAGAAGAGAATCGTTCGATGAAATCTGTTGGCGGCAGCGATGGTGGAAGTATCGGCGACAGATCGCATCGTGTTTCCCGAAGCAGAAGCGGCTCGAGATCGCGATCAAGAAGTCCGACCAGGTGGAGGTCAAGATCTCGATCAGCGTCCGGGTAATCACTCTTTTATTACATTAGTCGTATAGAACGCATGAGGTTTCAGAAATGACGCACTGTATGCGTTTACTTTTTGTCTATTAGCATGCAAGTGTTTACTAATGACATTTACATTGAGTTCTGAGGTGATTGGCTTTCGATTGGATATTCATTTGTTATATATTCATATAGTTCGTGTTAATTTAATCAGTACAGATATTTTTTCAATAATAGTATGAATCGTATTGTTCGAAGAAGTAGAAACTTTCTACGATTAACACGGTTAGATATCTTTTTAGGTGAGACTTCTTATTAAGGATAGTATTCGTTACAATTTACTAGCATTTGTTAACTGTTTAGTTCTGAGGATGGCAGAGGAGACGAAGCAGAGGAAGCTAGGTCTGGAGACGAGGAAATGGAACCTGAGGAAGAACCTGAAGGTAAAATTAAAAGTTCCGTTAGATTGCTGTTAGTCTTACCCTACCCCCTCTCTCACTTTACCTGACTTTCCTTTTCCCACTATTACTCATATTTTTACGATTATGAGTCCCTTTGTTCAATTTTATTGCTTTCAGGAGAGGATTTGGACGGAAGTAGCGAGTTCGATGAGGAAGAAGAAGAGGAAGACGATGACAGGCCTAGGAAGAAAAAGAAGAAGGACAAATATCGTGATTTCATCATAGATGAAGCTGAGGTAGACGACGAAGTCGAGGATGATGATGAGTGGGAAGAAGGTGCCCAAGAAATTGGTATAGTTGGGAACGAAGTGGACGAGTTGGGCCCAACTGCTAGGGAAATCGAGGGTCGACGCAGAGGAACCAATCTCTGGGAGTAAGTATTTCATCTCCGAATATATCAGAACTGTGTAATACTAATCACGTAATTTTTAGTTCTCAGAAGGAAGATGAAATAGAGGAGTACCTGAGGAAGAAGTATGCAGACGAGTCCCTCGCCACTCGCCACTTCGGAGATGGTGGCGAAGAAATGAGCGATGAAATCACTCAACAAACTTTGCTGCCAGGCGTGAAGGATCCGAATTTATGGATGGTCAAATGTCGCATTGGAGAAGAAAAAGCTACGGTCCTACTGCTGATGCGAAAGTTTATTACGTACCAGTTCTCGAACGAGCCACTTCAAATAAAATCTGTGGTCGCTCCCGAGGGAGTGAAAGGATACATTTACATAGAAGCGTATAAACAGCCGCACGTGAAAGCTGCTATTGAGAACGTAGGAAATTTGAGGATGGGTATCTGGAAACAGCAGATGGTACCGATCAAAGAAATGACCGACGTGCTACGCGTTGTTAAAGAGCAGACAGGTCTGAAAGCGAAGCAATGGGTCAGGCTAAAGAGAGGAATTTACAAAGACGATATAGCACAAGTCGATTACGTTGATCTGGCACAGAATCAGGTTCACTTGAAACTATTGCCTAGAATCGATTATACGAGACCGCGCGGTGCTCTGAGAACCGCGCAAAGTGAATCGGAGGCGTTGAAACGGAAGAAGAAAAGAAGACCGCCGGCTAAACCGTTCGATCCCGAAGCAATTCGTGCTATCGGTGGAGAAGTGACCAGCGACGGTGATTTTTTAATTTTCGAAGGAAACAGATACAGTAGAAAAGGGTAAGCATCAATATAAGTCGTTCATAATAAAATTTTCATTGAAATCAATATATTTAGACTTATTACTGTTCCAGATTTTTGTACAAAAACTTTACAACAAGCGCGATTATCGCTGAAGGCGTGAAGCCAACGTTGTCTGAACTCGAACGGTTTGAGGAAGCTCCGGAAGGCGTCGAATTAGATTTAAGCGGAACTCCCAGTACTGGGATTGGTAATAAAGAAGACGCTGCGGTGACTCATTCCTTCAGTACGGGCGACAACGTCGAAGTCTGCGAGGGTGAATTGATCAACTTGCAGGGAAAGATCGTTTCGATAGATGGAAACATGATAATGGTCATGCCGAAACACGAAGAGCTTAAAGAAGCCTTAGAGTTTCAAGCTTCCGAGTTACGGAAATATTTCACTATGGGTGATCACGTGAAGGTAAGAAATTGACACATCGAATATTACTCGTAAGAGTTTGCGATTAGGAAACTTATCCTTCGGTTATTTGCAGGTTGTAGCTGGAAGATACGAGGGTGATACTGGCTTGATAGTTCGAGTGGAGCAAAATAGAGTAGTCTTATTTTCCGATCTTTCGATGCACGAGCTCGAAGTTCTTCCGAGGGATTTGCAATTATGTTCTGACATGGCAACAGGCGTGGACAGCTTAGGACAATTTCAGTGGGGCGATTTAGTACAATTAGACGCACAGACCGTAGGCGTAATCGTACGACTCGAGCGTGAGAATTTCCACGTGCTCTCCATGCACGGGAAGGTGATAGAAGCTAGACCCCAGGGACTTACGAAGAGACGCGAAAACAGAAATGCCGTAGCTTTAGATTCTCAACAGAACACCATACAAAAGAAAGATATCGTGAAAGTAGTGGACGGACCACACGCTGGCAGAGGTGGCGAGATTAAACACTTGTACAGAAGCTTCGCGTTCCTGCACTCGCGGATGTTCGTCGACAACGGAGGAATATTCGTTTGCAAGACGAGACACTTACAACTCTCCGGTGGAAACAAGTCCAATATATCGTCCATGTTACCAGTGGCAGGATTCATGTCACCGAGAATCGCGTCTCCAATGCATCCCAGTGGGTCAGTAGAACATTTTTATGATCAGTCAAAGTAATTGTTTAAATCTACTGTTATAAATGAACATTGACAAATTTACAGAGGTGGCTTCGCGAGAGGTGGTGGCGGAAGAGGCAGGGGCCGCGGTGGTGGAGCTAGACGTGACAGAGAATTGATAGGAACTACCATCAAGATAACTGGTGGACCGTACAAAGGAAACGTCGGAATAGTGAAAGACGCCACAGATACCACTGCACGCGTCGAGCTACATTCGACTTGTCAAACCATATCCGTGGACAGGTCTCACATCGCGAACGTCGCAGTTCTCACGAAAGATGGAGGTTTCAGCAGTTACAACAGGACGCCAGCGTATCCAGGAGGTCAGACTCCAATGTACGCGAGAGATGGGTCCAAGACACCTATGCACGGCTCCCAGACACCTATGTACGAGAGTAAGTACGTCAAACTCAAATGCATAAATTACATTGCATCGATCCTTAACATCGTACATTTGCAGATGGTTCTCGTACACCTCATTATGGCTCGATGACTCCATCTCACGACGGTTCGCGTACACCTGGACAATCCGGAGCTTGGGATCCGACTGTTACCAACACTCCAGCGAGAACAAACGACTTCGACGGGTACAGTATGGAGGAGAGTGGATCCCCGGGCTATGCACCGGGTTACCCTTCTACTGGTGGACCGTTCACACCGCAAACGCCAGGGACGATGTATGGTTCGGAGCAAAGTTTCAGCTCGTACCAACCGAGTCCTAGCCCGGCGGGAAGTGCCTCCGCGAGTCCTAGCCCCGCAGGATACGTCGCTACTCCTTCACCGAGTGGTACCGGCTATACTACAAGTCCTCACGGAGCGTTTGCCACGCCGTCGCCAATGGGTTATAGCCCCATGACTCCAGGTAACTTTTCTGTTCTCGAGTTCAGGTATTTTATTTAATTTTCAGATTAGAATATTATGTTATATGACTGTTTCTGTAGGTGTTGCAGGTAGCCCATACAATCCGCAGACACCTGGCGCTGGTCTCGACACCAGCGTTGGCTCTGGAATCATCGGAGGAACCGAATGGCACACCACAGACATCGAAGTTCGAATCCGTGATTCTCATCAGGATCCTGCCTTGGCTGGTCAACAGGGTATCATTCGGGGAATATCCGTAAGTATTTTCACTTTAAACGTTAATCGTTAAGCGTTTTTATATTTCATTAATCGATGGATTTTATTTGCGAACAGGGTGGCATGTGCGCGGTCTTCCTACCCGTGGAGGATCGGGTAGTTAATTTAGTTTGCGAAGACTTGGAACCGGTAGTTCCATCGCGGGGGGATCGAGTCAAAGTGATCATGGGAGAGGACAGAGAAGCGGTGGGCACGCTGTTGTCCATCGATAACCAAGAAGGTGTCGTCAAGTTGAACAAGGACGAAGTGAAGATGTTGCACCTGCGGTTCTTGTGCAAAATGAAGCCGGCGAACGCGTAATTCCAGATGATCCCTTTAAGAGGCGGCGATGAGATTAATGTATCCGAAGGATTTTTTAATATTACTAATTAGACATCACTGAGTTATGAGTTCCAAATGTCCCTCGTTGCGTTTAGAAACAAGAATTAATTAAGGAATATGTAAAATAAATACATACACTCTTATTGTAAAGACCCAGGAACCTTTTCCTACGAAGAATTTTCAATTTTCGGTGAGTGTTACAAAACTTGATGAAGCGTTTTGTAAAAAAAAATTAATGCACACGTTGCAACTTACGAATTGTAAATGTAAACACTTTAACTGATTAAAGGAAATTGTATTAATTTAATCTGTCTTCGATTCTTAGTTGAAGACAAAAACGAAATACAATCGTACATACGTTTTGGGACGTTTACGAATTATTCGTCTGACAGATGCCCGTTCACGCATCTGAAATCAGTCACGCAATCAAACGAGAGAAAGTCGTGGCGAGATGATTAGGGAACGCTCAAAGGATCGGTATAAATTTTTCGAAATTTCTCAAGGGGAAATCAGACTAATCGGAATTTACCGATTGGAGTATGAGATCATGCTTCATATGGTTCTTTCCGGTACTTGTGGCATCTGCTCTCATTAATTTACGAAGGTACACACATAATCGTAAATGTCATCAACATTTCCCAGCCTTAAATGATAAAATAATAAGAAAGTAGTACTATTCAGTCCCATGTTCTATTATTAATGAAACGTTAGGGTAATGGGTGTTAGCACTTTCAAGCATGAACAAAATGTTGGCACGGTGTTATTCGAGAAAACTGACGCTGGTAAACATTGTTGGACCACGGAGGAGTTTATTATCTTAAATAGTCGGAGGATGTTTCAAGATCTATTACCAAAGGTAGACTTCATTTTACGTTGGCCCGTTAACTCGATATCATTTAACTTCCTATACCTCTTACAATCATCCTATGTTTTTCGATAGAATCCTAATTTTTTAGCTGATAATTCGGTACGTTGCAAATATCATTTTTTTGTTATACATAATAGAAATTTAAATTGATCAAACCGATAGCTCAGGGTCTTGATCGCACGAGCCCATCCACTTTAAAGGAAGTATCATCGATTCCCCGTAAAAAAAACGCGCGTACGCACCCTCATCCACCCTCTGATTCCCCAGGTGAAAGTTCTAAATTATGAGAACGATCGGTACATCGCGCTGCTGATGGATTACTTTCACATTTGTCTGGAGAGCGTGCGGAAGCTGTCGATAGGTAAAACGAAGCACCTGATGCTGAAAGCCCTCGCGGACACGATGGGCGGCTACTTGCAGGTTTACATCCTGCCTCTCACCAGACACTCCTATTACGCCGGGAACATAAAGTATCGGAACGCGAGGAAGCTGTTCGAGCTGTACGAGCAGCTGAAAGTTTTCCTCGGAAGCAACGGAGTCGGCTGGCTGAGCTCCTCCAACGAGATAAAACACGCGAAAATACAACCGATCGTAATCACGCCGCCGAGATCGTCGGTCGCATGCGATGGAATTATTACCTATCCTGCCTGTAAGAGCATAGTTACGACCTTTCATCGAGTATTCATGGGTATTTTGCAGGGTGTCTCAGAAAGCTGCGGCTGCTATTTCCATATACGCGCAGTTAACGAAAACTATTTATTCTCCGATTAAAACCTTTTTTTTTGTAAACGAAAGTACAGCCAAGTTTTGTATACGACAGGATTGGGATTTAGGAATTGCGGATGTTCAGATATAAAAATGATACACTCGGATATATCTAATTAATTATCGTTTATTCCTTAGCTTCAACTGATTACAACAAACGAGAAATAAAGCGTTTCACGTTTAAACAGAAGAAACGACTCACGTCGAAACACAAAAACAGAAATTCTGGTGAGTTCCGATGAACTCTTTTTTTTAATTAAAAGAAGTGTAATTAATTTTACGAATGTACTATCGAAGGAAGCAAGAGTGTATCTGTAAGGAGCGAAGAATCGATTATCGTCCCTCTTCCTTTCCTGGACGACGAAGAAGAGCCGAATAGGTATCGATCTCTTCAATCATGTTCTCGTTCCACCAGGAATACGAAGAAGAGCATTGAGCGAGAATTTTCTTACAGCATCGCGTTACCATTTAAGAAGAACACCTTGCAGTCGTTGTACAGCGAACGATCGACATTCGTATTAGTTAAATATTACATAGCCAGCGTGAAATGCATCTCCTCGAAGACGAAGGGGAAAACGGAAGTGGACAGTTTCAACCAGCAGTTTTACGATTGGCTGCAGCAATCCGTACGTTGTGAGTCGCCGTGATCGGAAGTGGCAGTTTTCCATGCATAAACTACGTGAACAAGCCATCGCGTGCAGAGTATTCGATATCGTTTACCATTATTCAAGTTTGCACATTTTCATTCAGGGCGCATAAATACACGTTATTACTTGGCATTACATTTTTTCTCCCTCGTCGTTCTCGCTCTGTACGACCGTCCTACGTTTCCACGATTCTAAGCCCGTTTATTACCCTGCTTTCTCCTAAAGAACTTTGTACAATTTTACTCTACACAAAGCGTGAAACCGTAAGCAGACGTCTTTGGTTTCCAGGTGCAGCCGCACCTCGACGGTAAGAAATGGTACCCAGCGTTCGGCGGTGTTCTTCGAGTGATCACCACGTTAGAGGAAGCTGGTAACTTATTCCTCTCCTTATTCGTAATTTCCCAATGCAGCCGCGCTTCCATGATTCGTGGTGTTTTCCATGTCAGGCGCGGGAACCGGTCCCGCGAAAGGAAGAAAAAGCGGAGCGTATCAGATGATGCCCAAACCGGGAGCGCTACCGAGCGCCGAGCCGGACGAAGGCGTGCCACCTTTGTACAAAGGTTCAGGAGAGAAAGTAGCCTGATCCAATTTGTAATCGAATTTTCTATCGCTTTCTAACGTCGCTCCTTTTTATTCAGACGATGAGACGACGGTCACGCTGGGTACGACGGAATTAATATCCATCGCCGTGGTGAGCGCGCTGTTGGTCTGGTTGCTGGTAGGCCTCAGCCTCGTCTGTTACAGATTTCTCGTGAAGCACTCCGACGAGTGTGGTCCTTGCGAGCCACGGGATCCTCCGTACGTTTTTCAGTCTATGCAAATTACGTTAAAGATTGACAATCAAATAATTATTTTTATAGCAATCGTCATATATATATGTATATTAGAATATAGTTTGTAAATGCAAGATCGCAATTGAATTTTTCTTCCTTCGATACAATTTAGAGTCGCTGTTTTATATGAAAATAAGGAGTACTGTCAGCCTGACACGTGTCCAGCGAAGGCACCTCGTAAGGGATTGCTGGAAAGGATTAAGGATTGTTGGCAGGGAAAGTTCGGCAAGGGTCGCGCGAATTGTCAGAACCCAATGGACGAGGAACGATGTTTAGCAGCAATTAGTTATACTAGCAAAGATACAATAGACGTTAGTAGTAGTAGCAGAGGATATCAGTAAGTCTTCATTCGTTTGAGAAAAATTGTCATTTGAAAGTCTGTCCGTTCATGCTCGATTTGTTCTTTTGATTTAGAAAAAGAAAAATTAGTAAATCGGTCTCAGCGACGATGTCCAGTTATCGGAAGGAACGTGTGCCTGTCAGGGTAGGTAATTCCTCTGAGATTTAATAAACAACGAGGATAATCATTATTTCTGATTTGCGCAGAAAGTCTATTACAGTTCAGACGGATCGTTAACTACAAACACTGAGAGTCCTAAACCGAGATAACAGGAGGCTACAAGTTCCCGTTTACCTTTTAATATTGGTATCCTTTTTTTTGAGTATGTACGATGTAATAAATGCGATCACGAACGAAATCCTTTTCTCTATCGTTACGTTCTTCTTTCAGTATACAATATATGAAATATTAATTGTACGCCAATAGTTTCGATCGACTGTTTCGTTACTTAGATAATCGCATACTTTATTGATTCGTGTTCCACCCTTGAATTTCATTAGAACTGCATCGGATGGCTCGCAGTCGATTGTGCTTCGTTATTCTGGCCGCGTACTCGCGGACTGTATTCAATGAATGCACGTTCTGGAAATGGTGCAACCGTGCATCGGGACGAGCCACGCAATGCAACTTGTTGCGACCCAGTCGCGGATTCGAATCCCGCCGGTTCATCAAACCGCGCCGGTGCTGTAGCGCCACCTACGCTACCGGCGACGCGTCGGGAACTACCGGCAAGGGTAGCCAGTAGTGCGCCACACGTCGAAGGAAGAAGATAGTGTACGTCAGCCTCCCGATATCATTACGATCGTGCGTTGTTATTAGAGTCATTCGAAAAGTACGCGTTATTACCGTGACATTGTTTAAACGTTATTTCGTACTCCGTGATCGCCGTGTTCGTCGATAATTGTATGTACAGAACGATTTCCACCAAAAGACAATCGCGTCGTGTACGTGCCGGTCGTGTGCGAGATCACGTGTCATTTCGACGTACGACATTGTCGCGAGTTTCTTTTGTTACTTTATATCGAATAATTGACAGTATTCGCGACTCGAAATTTATAATCGCGCGTGAATAGTGTCGATTAAAACGTTCAGGTTACGTAAGATTTAGGCGCGAACCGCGGAATCGCGAAACCGAGGCGTCGCGTAGTGGTCAATTCAAACTGCTAATTGTTCCTCCCTTCACCCTCCCTTCACGTGTGGCGTGTGTATTTGTTTAATGGAAGACATCTGTGTCCTGTGACAAGGTGACTCTAAACGAAGTTAATCGTTTCGCGAAAAACGCGTGACGCGTCATTTCGGATTTCCCGCGACCTTCGCCTTGCCGGGCAAGGGAGTGCAAGCATGTAAACAGATTTCGTTCGGAAAGTTTTTTTCAACGAGGCGGTCGTGATCGTATAATTTCGGACAGTGAATGATGCGTAATATGGACAGATTCGCGGTTGGCGTTTTACGCGTCCGTAATTGACTGCGCAGTACCGCGGTGTTTCTGGGCTCTCCTCTTTAAGGACACGATGGGACGACGTAGCTGCGGGAAATTCTGCCTACTTCTGGTCTGCCTACTCCTTGCATCAGTATTTCAAGGTACGTGAATTAGTCTTCTACGCTTCATGCTTCGTCTTAAGGATCTTGATATAATATCGATCCTCCTGACAGTATTCGCAATTAGAAGTCAGACTGTCTTCTGTTTTATGCATTGTTTCCCAATTTTAAAGGCAAACGTTGAATTATCCGATGGCTCTGTTGAAAATTCATTGTAGGCTTATTGTCAATAGAAGTCAATGATTCTGAATGAGTACATAGTTCCGTTGATCAAGTTTTATGCACATCATTCTCAAGTCAAATTAATTTTGTCCTACAATTCATTAGTATAGAAATTCTATTTATCAAATCTCACCGCTGAGATAATTTAATTAAATAGTGATTTACAGTATACAGGATTTCTTGTATTCTCGCAGATAAATAATTTCATAAAACCAGACGAATACTTGTACGCATAAGACGCATTAGTATTTTCTTTCTGATTTTTCGACGTAAATTTATATTTTGAGAAAAATCGAACTAGGACAATATTTAATATTTTGATGCGTAGATGTTAACGATTTTTAATCTGGTACACATTTTCATGTTTCTTTATAATCGAAATACGGTCCAGAATAAATCTAATATACGACGTACTACGTTTTTAAAAAAAATGATGTAAGCTCGGTAAGCTGTTCCGAAATGAAGTTTCATGGGCTATCGGATATTAGTGCATAAAAAATTTTAAGGCCAAACAATTATAAATTCAGTCGAGATAATATTAGATTTGATAGCTATTTCTGATGTCATTTCAAGATCGCTACGTATCTCCAGCGATTTACATATCTCCTGCGTTTTACATAAAGTATTCGTATAGTACTTTCGAGGCCAAAGTTTGACATTAGTACATGAGCATGTATCCCAAATTGCAAATTGAGTCGTAGTTACATTGCCTCACATTCATCACGTATTTTCCTTACATTTTAAAGTTAAGAGAGTGTAGAACAGATGCCTTAAATAATACAATTTATTATTTCAATTCATTAGCCCGAGAACATATATAAAATTCCTTTGATCTAGTGATTGCATTTTCGTTTTCCTGACAATGGCAATTTGTTTTGGCAATGGCGTTTCAATGACAAATGATAATCGTTTTCCTAGGTACAATGAAATCTTTCATTGGGAGAGGCAAAAAGCGTCGCAATAAGGAAGCAAAACACATATTTGCCTATTTAGCATTAGAATATATCCCGAATTCCATTGTCTTCTTTTTCTCGATCCATTCTGAATACCAACGCTTTTAATGAATAGAACCGGACACTTCTTTTATTGCGACGCGAATTCAGCTGCTCCCCCATAAGTAAATAATTCTTCTTTTCAGCAATGAAGCAGTTAGGCGCCCATAGAATTTCGTTTCATGCGTACATATGTGCCATTTCGTTTTTATAGCTTTACTCACGTGTCATTTATCAGTCTGCGTGGCGGGCATGATTGTCTGATACGCGAGGTCGTTTTATAAAATGTGTCTTGGACGATCGCGAACCGTGCGTGTCTAACGAATCCGCCGAGGAAGGGCAGAGAAAATAGAAAAAGGGAGCAGAATATTTACGTCTCCTCGAAAATAAATACCGCTACGTGCCTCGAAACGCGAGTTTCTCGCATTTCCTAGCCGCGTGATCGTTTTTCACCGTAGGAAAAAAGTCGCGCGACAGAGAGCAGAGTTCCTATGCAAAAGAGACCGGGGGGGAAAAAAAGGCGAAGCTCGTGTTCGTCGAAATTCGAATGGAAAAACGTCCGTGCAAGGTTCATTTCGCTTTGGCCGCCGGTGCATCGCGTCGCATCGTTTCAAATCCCATTCCGAAACTCCCATCTCATTCTGAACACGCGTGATCCGGATTAGAAACGTCCGGTTTCCCCTGTTTCAGGCTGCTCGGCTCGCTTTGTCACGTGCGAAAAATCGAAATCGAAGATGAGCCGTCGAGATAACGCGCGAATTTTTATACTCCATTGCCTCCTCGTCGATTTATTGGCGATTTCAAAAATCTCTGGTCACACGTTCTGCTTCGCTTTAGTATCACTTTGCATTCATAATTCTTCACGTTTTCTATTTCTGTCTATCCTTACGTTCGTCCGTCTCGTTTGACAGACTCGATAGAAGAATTCCTTTTAATATAAGACTGGTATTTCTCAAGTAAACGGTATTTCGTGTAACGAAGGGTAAAGGGCGGCCACTTTAGACTTACATTCGCTTTATAAACATTCAACAAGTGGCAACGGGTCCATCGACTCGCGGAAGTTCTCGCAGTTCGCCGAGTGTTCCTTTTAAAATCGATCGAACTGCATAAGTATTCCCCCGCGGAACACCGGGACGAACTTTCGCTATTTAGTTTTCCGGATTAAACGAGATTCTTTCCAACTACCGGCCTGCTCCGTCGAACCAATCGATTGTGAATTCAACGCGAATTCATTGGACAGCCTCGCGAATTTTTCGACGGTCGAGAACTTTTCGCGTTAATCCGCGATCTCGGTTCTTTCGGGGGGAATAAAGTGTACGTCCGTCGAGTGGAAGCGTTTTATCTAGTCACTGTTCCGATTCTCTGTTTCTATTTGAATGTAACTTCGGAATGAAAGTCTGTCAACTGGTTTATTACGTTTTTATTGATCACTCAGTGGGTGGGTGTTAAGTTTGTCCTGGTATAAACGTAAGAATTCTATGGTATGTACTTATTTTTGTAAAGAAATTGTATGTCGTAAAGAATTTAAAGAATTTGCGTTCTATGTCTGGAGATACGTGAGACGGAAAGGTTTTTTATTACATGAATTAATGGAAAATCGCGCTTACTCTGACGAGTGACGATGGCTAATTTCTCATTAGAATTTACATGAATTTTTACTTTGATTGATATTCTACTGAGCTGTTAGCAACGATGAAGCTCGTTTTGCCTTGAAACGGGTCGAAGGGCGCAGGGACATTTGCATCGTGCCACGGGCAAATAGCCCGTAAAGCAGCAATAAAAATGTGAATTTTGTTCGAACGCTCGAAAACACAAGCTTTCGCCGTTCGTGTTTTAAACGAGGCAGCTTCATAAAAATTTGAATGCAATCCGTTCGCCGGTAGAGAGGGGAGGACAGAGTCTCGCGTGTCGTGCAATTTTCCGGACTTTTTTCATGAAAATTTCCTATCCTCCGCGAGAGATCGATTCTCTCGTTTATTACTCGTTCGTCTCGTTTCGTTATTCTAATTTCGACCGGAACCCGACACCGACTGTCCCTGTAATTACGAGCATTTAAAACCCTCACCGACGGGTATTTTAGTTTGTATACAATTTTCAACCAAGATCCGCGGACTGAATTAATGGACTCGGTTTTTTAATTACCGTCCCAACGTCGTTCGCCACTGGCTTTTTTGTCGTTCAGTTTAATTGTTCGCGACGATTACGCGACGAGCTTTTTTATTTGACCATATCCCACTGTTCTTGTGTACTTTTTCCTGTCCCGTTGGCACGCACAAATCGAGAACACGGGAAAACATCAGAAAAGAGTAGAGAACGCGTTGTGCGTGGGTGAGAATCATGTAAAGCGTCGTACTTATGTTTTTAGAGTGTTTTTTTTATAATTGATGATTTATAGAATTCATTTATAGAATCGATTATTCATTTCGCATAAGCTAATATTTCTCAATCGTCGTGAAACGAACCCAGCGTGTACAAACATGAGGACAGTTGGAATTTACTATCTCTGAGGTAAATATCGTTGCCTTCCACAGGAAGTCGGTCTCAGATAACTTTGACCGAGGATCATTCCGCATCGTAGAACAATTCGCGAACGCGACGCCTCGGGCCAGACGGGATCGCTTAGCTGTAATAAAGTGTCGAGCCGAGGTGATTTTCCAATCGGCGCGCTGTATAATCGTCGGATCGGCAGATTTTATTGGCAATAAGCCGCGGTTATCGATGGATCGGAGATAACGCGGATGCGTAAATAACGCCGGATCCACCGAGGCTCATCGATCGTTAACCCCCGGTTAATGACCAGTGGCCGACGGTCGCCTTTCGAGCTTTAAATTACTCATTTTCACGCGGCAGTGAAATAAATGTAACAGCAACCGTGTAATAACCGCTTTATGCGTCGACGTTTACGAACGCGTTCCCCGCCGCAATTTATGATCGCAAAAAGCGCAGTTCCGTTCGTCCTTACGTCTTCCTATCGCCGCTCGTCGGCTCGGTCTGCACGAGATAGATACCAGATTTCATTCAATGTTAATTTCCTTCGGTCATGGAGAATAGTTTTATCAGCGTTATCTCTATCTGTGTGTAGTAGAACATCTGGGAATGAGAACATTAAGCGCTGATCGAGATTGATAAGAGAATTCATTGTCGACAGTCTCATTTTTATGATAAACGAGATCGGATGGAAATTTCTATTTAAATTTCGTTTTCCAAATTGATATCACTTATCGCTCCAAACTCCTGCGAGAGGTTAAGAGTGCTCCATTGATAACAGTCTGATCATTCGATTCGCATAATGGCCCGTTCGGTCGGTCTAATATATTAGAAACCGATATTTCGTAACGTAACGTCGTGCGACTATAACTCTGCGAGTTGGGAACGGCTAGCCACGCTTCCGGTATGCGATTAGTGATAAACTACGTTCTCCACGGTATTTTATCGACGATGCCTCGAATTTATTTCGGTCCGAGGGTGGTTTGCGCGATTCTTGGTCCATTCAGAGGCGAGAGAGAATGGGAAGGAGCCCAGGCTGAAAGGGAACAGGCGCGGCGAGCGAAACTTAAAGGAACCTGCTCGATATTTCCCGAAATTTATGACCAGGTATAATGACCAGAACTCTCTCTCTTTCTCTCTTATTATGAAAAGAGAAAATGCCGCGTAACTCTGTCGCGATCCGGTACATTTGTACGACGTTCCTCGCCCCTTTAAGTAACTCTCCTCGCAGTCTCTTTTTAAGAACAGCTTCCACAATTCCTGTTAATGCGAGCTTTGAAAAAGGAAGTGGTCGACGCGTCTCGCTCGAGGAATACTCTTTGAAATCGAGAAAGTTGTTTG